TATGGGGGAAAATATTCAGAAAACAAGTTGCAAAGTTTTTGGGTTGTTGTTTTTTTTATCACTCAATATAATTATATTGTTCGTACCGGGGCTGGATTAAGCATGACGGGTTTTGTCTGAATTCTCATGAAAGTGGTGGATAAGTGTTGTTGTTGTTGTTTTCAAATCCCTTTAGCTGCGAGCATTTCGCTCTTGGCAGCGCAATGCCTCCCTCAAGTAACTACATGTCCTTGTCTTCTGGTCAACGCCAGAGTAGAGCAGGCTTTGTAAGTCTGTAGGTGTGTGTGTGTAGGAGCCTGCGTCGAGAAAATGTCAGGTTTGGGCAGTGAAGGAGAAGATGTTCAACGGTCTCCTCGTGGTAGTCCCAGTGTCTGCAATGGGGTTCCCACATGGGGTTAATTCTGTTTATATGTTTGTACTTGTTGGTATGTAAGTGTCCTGTGCGGGCTCTGAAGATCAATGTCTGATCGGCTCTACATAAAAGATTCGAAGGGTTTTTGGGGTTGGGTTTGCCCATCTGTTTAGCCTCTCGTCTCTGCTTTTGGCTTGGATGATCCCTCTGTATGTCTGTAAAGAGGCGGCTGTGTCTGTCTGGGCAGGCTTGCTCCAGTCTTTGATAGCTGGTCTGCAGTCCCATTCCCTTGTACTCCAGAATGGCCAAGCACCGACTGCAGTGTGGCCCGGGCGCCATAGGAAGTGCTCATCTGTTTTACAAGGCGGAGACTGTTCCCGTCACCTCTGTAGTCTCCTCTTCCCTCGACGGCTTGGAGAACCCACATTGAATCAGAGAAGACAACAACATCCCCTGGTGTTATTAGGCCGTCAAAAAAGTCTTGGGTAATCTGCTCCAGGGTCTTTACTATGGCAACTCTCTCTGCGTCATAGTTGGAACTGTATGTTCCACATGGGCCAAATAGTTGGGTCTGCTTCTTCTGTCCAAGGCTGTTTCGATATTTGATGATATATCCGTATCCAGCATTCCGTGTAGCGTTTGTTACTGGTCCATCTGTGTATGCATGAATTGGAGTTTCAGCATACGAGTCCATTGTCTCCAGGGCACTAGTTCTGAGGATTTCTTCTAGTGTGGTCTAGTCACAAGCAGGGTCTAGAAGTCTCGTCCTTATTGTGATTCTGGTGTCTGCCTATATGGAGGTCCGCTACTGATGTTGGTGATTGGTTCTCTGTTCTCGGGTGGGTCAAACTCCTCAAGTATTTTTGTTGCTTCTCGCATGAAGGAAGTCTTCTGGATACGTGTTCTTGGTTCCCATTCATCTGCCATTTTCCTGTTTTCGTTCGAGTCTTCTAGCCGCACAAATCTTTCGTAGGTTTCGAGTGTGGCACTCTTTCTTCTGAGGTCCAGTGGTTCTATGTTGGTGTGGATTTCGCAGGCGCTTGTAGGCGTGGTCTTCATCGCACCAGAAACAAATCTGATTGCTTTGTTCTGTACTCTGTCAAGCTGCGCATGGATAGGTGTTGGTCAATACCATACTCTGTTTTGCCTCACATTGTGAAATTGGCGATAGATAGATATATAGATAGATAGATAGATAGATAGATAGATAGATAGATAGATAGATAGATAGATA